TGATGTGGATCACGAAGTGGGGTTCCTCACCTTCAGATTTCGCGATATTAATGTGGTGGCTCTGGCTTCATGCAATGAGGTGTCTCGTGAAGAAATTGAAACCCTCAGAACGAAAGATACTTCTCGAGTAAGTTTCAACAAGACACCACAGTGGGGTGAGGGTCATAAGGGCAAGAGAGAGGAGCATCGAGGGGGAACCAGAGGGAAGGATGGGCACAGAGATGGAAGGAGGGGCCGCACGAAGTGAATGATGGGCAGAGAGCATATGTAGGACGGGCAGAGAGAGTGATATCCGAGGCAGAAAGAGCCACGACGGGGCGTGAAGAGGGAATGAGGGACAGAGGAAGGCGCATGTGGGGCAAAGAGTGGGAAAGTGAGGCAGAGAGAGGGACAATGGGGAAGAGAGAAGGAATTCGGGGCTGAGAGACCGAAGGCGGGGCCGCGAGAGGGAAGGCGGGGCCGCGAGAGGGAAGGCAGGGCGTAAAGAGGGAAAGAGGGGCCACGAGAGGGAAGGCAGGGCGTAAAGAGGGAAGGAGGGGCCGCGAGAGGGAAGGCAGGGCGTAAAGAGGGAAGGAGGGGCCGCGAGAGGGAAGGCAGGGCGTAAAGAGGGAAGGAGGGGCCGCGAGAGGGAAGGCAGGGCTTAAAGAGGGAAGGAGGGGCTGATGGATCAAAGCATGGGCAGAGAAGTGAATGCGGGGCAAAGAGAAGGAAGGAGGGGCAGAGAGAAGTTACTTCGGGGCAGAGTGAGAGAAGGCGGGGAGTGAAGAGGGAATGGGGGACAGAGAGAGGTAAGGGGGGGAATGGAGGGGGACAGTGGGGCAGAGATAGGGGAAAGAGGGGACAGTGGGGCAGAGAGAGGGAATGCGGGGTAGAGAGAGGGTAGGAGGGGCATATAGAAGTGAATGAGGAGAAGATATTGGGCCCGATTCGGAATAGAGGGGAAAAGTGGGGCAGAGAGAGAGGGAGGGTGGGGCAGAGAGGGAATTCGGGGCGGCGAGAGGGGCGGAGGGCAGAGATAAGTGATCGCGGGACATAGAGCAGGCAGGAGGGGCAAAGAACTGAATCAGGGGCAGAGTGATGGAAGGAGGGGAAGTGGGCAGTGAACATGCAGGAGGGGCAGAGAGAGGGGAAGTGAGGCAGAGAGAGGGACAGTGGGGAAGAGAGAGGCAATTCAGGGCGGTGAGGGAGACGGAAGGCAGAGAGAAGTGTATGTGTGTCTGAGAGCAGGCAGGAGGGGCAAAGAAGTGAATTAGGGGCAGAGTGAGAGAATGCGGGGCGTGAATAGGGGATGAGGGGCAGAGCTAGGTGCACGAGGGGGAAAGAGAGAGGGAAGGAGGGGAATGGAGGGGGACAGTGGGGCAAGGAGAGAGGGATAGTGGGGCGGAGAGAGGGGGAGTGGGGCAGAGAGAGGTACGGTGGGGCGGATAGAGGGGAAGTGGGGCGAAGAGAGGGAGAGTGGGGCGGAGAGAGAGGAGGGTCAGATAGAGGGAAGGGGAGAGAGGCATAGACGTCTCCCTATTTGCATCCCGGACGTTCAGACGCTTCAAGTCCCAGTTTCCACACCACATTCCTCTGGCCGGAGGGGAATAGACAGGGAATGTGGGGCAGAGTCCGCGTTGGAGGGGTAGCGTGGTGGAATGCAGGGCGCTGAGAGAGAGAGGTAAGCGGCAAAGGAGGAATGGCAGGTAGAGAGAGGGAAAGAGACGGAACGATGGAGGAATGCGGGGCGGAGAGGGAAAGATACGCATAAACGGAGGAATGCTAGGGTAGAGAGAGGGAAGGAGGCGCAGCGATGGAGGAATGCGTGGCGTTTAGAGGGAAGGAGGGGCCGCAAGAGGGAAGGCAGGGCGTAAAGAGGGAATTTGGGGCAGAGGCAGGGAAGGAGGGGCACAGTGATGGAAGGAGGGGCCGCACGAAGTGAATGATGGGCAGAGAGCATGCAGGACGGGCAGAGAGAGTGATATCCGAGGCAGAAGGAGCGACGGCGGGGCGTGAAGAGGGAATGAGGGTCAGAGGAAGGCGCATGTGGGGCAAAGAGAGGGAAAGTGAGGCAGAGAGAGGGACAGTGGGGAAGAGAGAAGGAATTCGGGGCTGAGAGACCGAAGGCGGGGCCGCGAGAGGGAAGGCGGGTCCGCGAGAGGGAAGGCAGGGCGTAAAGAGGGAAGGAGGGGCCGCAAGAGGGAAGGCAGGGCGTAAAGAGGGAAGGAGGGGCCGCGAGAGGGAATGCAGGGCGTAAAGAGGGAAGGAGGGGCCGCGAGAGGGAAGGCAAGGCGTAAAGAGGGAAGGAGGGGCCGCGAGAGGGAAGGAGGGGCAGCGAGAGAGAAGGAGGGGCAGAGAGAGGTGAGCGCGGGGCATAGGGAAGTGGGCGAAGAGAGGGAAGTTGACACCTTGAGGAGGAATGCGGGGTCAGGAGAGGGTACGAGACAACGCCAATGAGGAATGCGGGTAACGAGAGGCTAAGTGACGAAGCCAAGAAGGGATGCGGGGTAGAGAGAGGGAAAGAGACGGAGCAAAGGAGGACGGCGGGGTAGTGAGAGGGAAAGGGACGGAGGAACGGAGGAATGCGGGTATAGAGAGTGAAGGTGGGGCAGAGAATCTGGGACATTAGAAAAGAGTGAGGGGTTTCGGGGCAGCGAGAGGGAAGGAGGGGCAGAGAGAGGGAAGGAGGGGCATAAAGAGGGAAGGAGGGTCAGAGAGAGGTGAATTCGTGGCACAGAGAAGTGAAATTGGGGCATAGGGAGGCAGGAGGGGAATGAAGGGGGAATTTAGGGATGAGAGAAAGGGAGATTGGGGCGGATAGAGGGCAGGTGGGGACGAGAGAGGGAAATTGGGGCAGAGAGAGGGAGTGAGGGGCGGAGTGAGGGAACGAGGGTCAGAGAGAAGAAAGGTGAGGCATAGAATCTGGAAAAGTGGGGCAGAGGGAGGGAAAGTGAGGCAGTGAGGGAGAAAGTGGGGAGATGAGGGTGCGGTTTCGATAAACCCAACTACTCCCCCCCCCCCCCCCCCCCCCCCCCCCCCCCTCCACCTCCCTTCCTCGCCCCCCTCTCCACCTCCCTCCTCCTCCCCCCCACCCGCCCCACCACATCCCAAAACCGATACCCTCGTTGCATCCCGTACGTGCAGACACAACAAGATGATTAAGGCAGTAACCCCTGCATCTTTGCTGAGGCTCCCATCCGCATGGGCGTACTTCACCACGACGGCTTGCTTCTCAGCGTCGGAGCACCGTGCCATGATGCAAGTGCTGCCCCTCATCATCGACCTCCCCGAGCGCGCTGACATTCGACATGCCATCGTGCTCATGTCTGATTGGTACAAGGAGTTTATCCGGGCTGAGTATCACACCGATGCCTCGCTTGAGCGGATGGAGGAGGTCTCCTGCGAGTAAGTATAATGTGAATGGATGTGAGTGCGTTGCGCGGAGGGAAAGAGGGCCAAAAAAGAGGGTTGGAGGGGCCGTAAGAGGCACTGTGAGGGCGTGTGTGGGAAATGGGGGCTGACAAAGGATAGAGAAAGGCAAAGATAGGGAAGGAAGGGCCAAGAGAGGGAAAGAATGGCGAAGAGAGAGAAAGAGGGGCAGAGTGAGGGAAAGAGGGGCAGAGTGAGGGAAGGAGGGATATCCCAGGGGAATGAGGGGCTGAGAGAGGGAACGAGGGGCTGATAGAGGGAACGAGGGGCTGAGAGAGGGAACGAGGGGCTGAGTGAGGGAACGAGGGGCTGAGAGAGGGAACGAGGGGCTGAGAGAGGGAACGAGGGGCTGAGAGAGGGAACGAGGGGATGAGAGAGGGAACGAGGGGCTGAGAGAGGGGAACGAGGGGCTGAGAGAGGGAACGAGGGGTGTAGAGAGAAGAGGAGTGGCACAGAGTGAGGGAAGGGAGGGGCAATTAGAGAGGAGGGGATGAGAGAGGGGGCGAAAGGAGGTGAGAGGAGGGGGGAGGGGATGAGAGGAGGGGAGAGGGCATGAGAGAAGGGAGGAGGTGCAGATAGAGGGTATGGGGCACGGTTTGTTGTAAATTGCAAACCCTTGTTTATGTGCGTGCGCACGCTAAACCTCTCCCCACCACACCAATGTTCCAACCCTGTATTTTCCAATCCACCATAACACATCCCATCCAGGATGGTCGATGCGCTTGTTCTAGCGTTTGACAACCAGAAGTCGAAGTGGCTTATTGTGAAGGTACATCTTGTATCGCACCTGCCACCGACAATCCGCGCACGCGGATTGCCGCAGGAGTACTCGTCCAACCGGTACGAGCAGTCCCACAAGACAACAGTAAAGCGCCCCTCCCGTGGCACCAACTGGAAGGGCGTGGAAGACCGAATTGTGAAGAAGCATGTCGAGCAAGCTGTTGTTCGACAGTTGTCTCGAGCTGCCGGCGGGGACAAAACCTACGAGACAGCCATGAAGGAGGTGAGCTTGGATACAACCTAGCCGTTTTTACCCACCACTAGTCCCCCCCTGCTCCCTCCGCCTGCTACCCTCCATGACTTCCTGTTTTGCCCCTCTTTGCTTGAGCCCCGCTGGTCCCGCCTCTTGCTATCCTAAACCCTTAACATCCCGTTCCGCCCCCACATGCTCCCCCACTTGTCAACCCATGGATGTTTACCCCGCTGCACCTCTTGACAACCTGTTCCGCCCCCACATGCTCCCCCACTTGTCCACCCACTAATCTTCTTGTTTTTGCCATCCTTGACATCCCATTCTGCCCCCACATGCTCCCCCACTTGTCCACCCATGGACCTAAACCCTATTGCTCAACCCCTATCCCTCTCGTTACTCGCCCCCCCCCTGCTTGGCTCTTGTCCACCTATTCTCCCTCATGTCGCTGCCCCCTTTGACCTCTCGTCCCTAAACCCTATTCCCTCCCACTCGTCCCTAATCCCTCCTCCCTCCTCCTGCTGCCCCCATTGTACTCAAGTGCTTCCTTGTTGTCGCCCCCCATGTAAACCATGCATCCATCACCCTCTTAAGCCAGGCTTGCACGCAAGGGCGCCGGGTGATGACCAAGACATACAAGAAGATGATCGTTGGGCACATCACCGATGATGTGTTCAGGAGCTATGTCCTTGTTCACGGAGAAGAGGCGATGGGCGCCCTGAAGAAGCGGCTGACCATGGAGGGAATCCGCGAGCCAGTGCTCAATGTGAGAATAATTAGAATGCTTATTGCAAGTGTGTGTGCAGCCTCTACCATCCTGTTAAACGCATGCAGCCTGTGACTAGTTTTAATGGGGAAACCCAGCCATGGAAACTTGTTGTATCAACACACTTTTCAGCACCCCATCCCTAAGAACTCTAACACTCCCCTTCCATTGTTGTGCTGTGGGCATACTCGCAGGTGCACACAGCCATGGCAATCCCGCCGCACGACAGGATGGAGTGGACCGAGAAGGGGCAGTTTGTCAAAGCAAGCCCTGCTGAGAGGCACTTTTCTGATGTGGCCATTAATCCAGCTGGCAAAGGGGCCAACTGGTACGGCCGTTGCTTGCTGCTGTTCCATTACGAGAAAAATGGGGTGGCAAAAAAGGCTGCCTACATCGAGTACTACACGGAGGATCGGCGTGTCTGCCGCTACACAGGTTGCAAGCGATTGCTGCCCACGAAAGGCACCTACAACTATGCAGTTGTGGATGCAGATTGCATTCTTAGCATGGTGCATGTTGTCCCGTGCTGCAAAGACCCTGATGTGAAGTTGCTCAATAGGTTCAGTTGGTAATGCCTTCTAGATTGCTACTATATTTTTCAAACCATAACATTATGTGATTATTAAACAGACAAACATGCAGTCTATATATTGTTTCAACAAACAACGTTTGACAAACCAATTATTGAAACATTGGTAAACCATCTGCAAAACATCAGCAAAACATTTGGTAATCCAGAAGTGCAATACAAATGATTTGTAAATGATTCCTAAGGGATTGTCAAACGTTTTCTAAACCCTTGCTACAAAATCAAACGGTCGAATGATTTACAGACACACACATTTTTGTGATGTCCTCCTGCCGCCCTTCCTCTTGTACCCGTCGCCTTTGCCGCATGTTGTCTTCGGATCCTGCATTTCCGCATTGCTTCCCCCGACGATCTCCCACCGGCCGTTGCATGTGCCGTTGAATTTCTCCCACAGGCACTGCGAAATCCAGAAGCACTCCCCGCCGTAGTAATAACGAGAAATGACTGTTCTCGCGTCCCTGACCCATCGACCCTAGTACAAGTGACAGTAAGGGGAAGATCCAGAGCGCTGGCTTGAATGAGTATCACGGGGTGGGCTCCTCGATTCTCGCTGCTGTGATTCAGTTTCGGCTTCGAATGAAGATTCAAGTGATTTTAAAGGGGCATTTTCTTCTAGCGAGAGCTTTTCAGAGAGGGCAAGGGGGGAATCTCCCCCCGGAAAGTTCTCTCCGGCCAGAAGGTCGTTTCGGCTGCTGCTGTCATCGGCGATCAGCCAATAGGACGCGAGAACGACCGCTACCAGCAGCAACAGAAACCCTCGATTGCCTAGGATATCTGTTCGCGAAGGCATTTCGCGCATAGGTTCTCGCGGTAGGGAGTCCTGGCGCTGGGCCAGCGGGCGTCGTAGTATTAGGGACGCGTCGTGTCGGACGGCGAAGCGAGGGCGAGTGGCAGCGAGCTTTGGGTCAAGTCATTGCAGAAGGCATGCTGCACGTGGAACGAGATCGCGATGCGCGCAAGCTAAGGAGCATAAGTGGGTAGTGGAGGTATTACAGATTCCGACAACGTTACATCTAGGCGGCCCTAAGCCATCCTCGCTATAGCATGATTGTTTCGAGGCGTTGGCGGCTTTTATGAAAGAGAACAACCGGATTATGATTGCGATACGACCTGTGGGGGAAGCCGATCCATATTGGTACAAATTAATGTACATGCGAAACCACTATACCCATGTGCGTTCTAAAGGTACACCCCGTATGGTCAGCTGCATACACCATCTTTCGACAGCTTCTCTCCCCTCCAGGGCAAATCTTTTGTTTTTTAAGGAACGGAAGGCTCCGGGTTCGCCTGAGAAAATACCCTGAAGAACCAGGAATGCTCAGCCAAATCATCCGGAAATTGTCAGGATGATTTCTAGAACGATTCTGATGAATCAGGATTAGCCAAAAAAACATACGGAATGTACCTGAATTTCAGAGTGTTTACCCTGATACCGAGAGCCCTGCTCCCCTCCTCTCTTTTCCCATCCACGCCCTCGCATCTCATCCCCCTCCGCACTAACCGTTTCCGAATGATATATCTCAGCGGACAAGCGAGTCCGCCCGGGGGAGCTCGCTGCCCGCGGGCAAAAAAAACTAAAACCCATTCGGGCATGCATCCGGTCAGGGAGCCTCAACCCTAAACACGGGGAGGCATGGATTTTAGGGTTGAGGCTCCCTCGGATGGCATGCCATCCGATGGGGTTTTAGTTTTTTTCTGCCCGGGGCAGCATGTCGTCAGAGGGTCGTCAGGCTTGACGACCCGTCTCGGCTGAGATTTTCCGCCAGCTGTGTTCCCTCGAACCTCCTCAGTCAACTTCCCCTCTGCTCCCTCCTACTATTCCTCCTGTTCCTCGGCACGCGCCTGGTCTCGCGATGGCTCTGGTGGACTACGAGCGCGTGGCGCGGGCCGTGAAGGAGTGGCCGACGTGGGTGCTGCGGAAGGCCAAGGTCGTGGCGCAGTACGGCTTCGTGCCGCTCGGCATCGCCGTCGGCATGCTCTACACCGAGCCGCAGCCGCACCTCCTGCAGCTCATCGGCCCTTAGACCGTCGTCTTATAGAATCAAGCCGTTCATCATGTGGTAACTTAAGATCTTTTTCTCTACCGTATAGTTCCGGCTAGAAGAGCCGCCGGTAAGAAGGTCCCCCGGGACTCTTGAACGGGTAGGGGGACTCTTATTGTGGCAGATATTGTGAGGACCCCCCTTGGCCGCTAATCATCATAAGACACCCCCCCCTTCCCTAAAGTGCCATTTTCATGCTGTTGAATCAAAAGGTTGTTGGTTAAACTCAAACACATATCACTAAAACTACACTTCCGTCACCCTACAACTACCGTACAAGTTACATAGTCATAGTGGCAAATCTAGCAATTTGGGCCCTTGGAAGTCCCATACCACATCTCTGCCTGCATCCTAATCCTCACTACTCGTCCGCGTTCTCCTCCAGCCCACCATCCTCCTCCTCCTCCTCCTCCTCCGCCTCCTCCTCCTCCTCCTCCTCCTCCTCCTCCTCCTCTCCCTCTCCTCCTCCTCCTCCTCCTCCTCCTCCTCCTCCTCCTCCTCCTCCTCCTCAGGGAGGTCCCCAGCATCCTCGGCATCAACCACCTTTGCCGCCTCCTCGTCATCTGCGGCGGTTGCATACAGAGGGTTCACCCACTCCTCCACTTCTGGGAGGACGTGCACGTCCTCAGCCACCTCGACCTCGCCCGCGTCGCGCATGTGGGCCAAGACGAGGTGATCCTGCTTCCCGTCCACTGAGTTGCTAATTCCGCACGTCAGAAAGGCCTTCTCAATGATGTGCTCAGGAACCGCGGCCCAAGCGGCCGCAATCCACTTGAGCACGGTCTCGGCAGGGGGCTTCTTCAAGTTCCCTGCCAAGAAGAGGGGACACACATAGAAATGCACGCTTAGCGTCAGTAAGCACTTTACCCAGACGGATTAGAACAAGCAGGCTAGCAACCGGGCGACTCACCGGCCTTCGTGAACGTATTGATGCCGATCTCGGCAAACCACTCGTTGTACATCTCACGCAGCAGCGCCTTGAATGAGCGGTTGACGCTCACGTCAAGGGGCTGCAGCAGAGGTGTGCATCCCCCTGGGATGATGGCCGGGATCACCTGGTTCCACTTCAGGTTGGTGAGCACACCATCCGTGAGGTGGCCCCGGTAAGAATCCAAGACCAACAGGGTCTTGGACCGTCGGATCCCACGCGGGGGCTTGATGAACGGGAGGAGGATGTTGTTGACCCAGTCGTCAACAAGCTTGGCGTCCATCCAACCCTTGGGTTGAGCACGGACGACGACTCCTGCAAAGGAAGAGCACATGCGGTTAGTCCAGGTTTTCAAACACGCTCGGAAACGAAGCGTTTCACGGGTGCATCTCACCTGCAGGGACCCGAATCTTCAGGACTGTCTTGCGCTTAAAAATCACCATCGCAGGGAGCTTCCGGCCGTCAGCGGTGATGCCAAGCATCACCGTGACCCTCTCCTTCTCGTACCCCGCGCTCCTGACGTGCACCGTCTTCTCCCCGCGGTGGTGCAGAGTGCGCTCGTTCGGCATCTCCAAAAACACCGACGTCTGGTCGGCGTTCACGATGTTCCACGTGTCGATGCTGTGCTTGATGATGTTCTTGCGCGTGAACTCCCAAAATTCCAGGCACTTCGGCTTGCACTCTGCCACGAACGCACAACGCCGAAATAACAACGGTCAGTGAGTGTAACAACGCCGTAAAATGCAACACATCACAACGATAATGCATTACGAGGCCGCGTTACACACAATCGGCTTACCTTTTGCTAGACGCTGGCCAATCTTCGTCTTCACGCGGATGGAGAGTCCGAGGCGCCCGCTGAAACGGTACGTCCACCTGTTGGACGCCATCCACCTCACGTCCGGGTAGTAGGCCTTCATGTAGACCCTGCTCCAGTGTTTGATGAGTCGGATCGGCACGGCCAAGCCACGGCCGCGGAAGTTCAGCATGCGCTTGTAGGCGTGCGCCTCCATATCGGGGTACTTTGCCTTCCGCCCGCCACCGCTGAGGCGCCGCCTGGAGCGCTCTGCGTTCTTGATCCGATCCGCCGCCCGTATCCACCGGCGCACACTGACCAGTTGCACCCCCGCCAGACGAGCCGTGTGGCGGACGGAGAGCTTCTCCGCCTCTATCCGCGCTAGCCAATCTTGTTTCTCACCCATCGTACGGGCCTTGCGACTGTGCGTCGTGGTGCGAGCGCGGGGACTCGATGGCGCACCGTCGGCTCGGGCCCGCGGACCGTTCTCGTCATGCATGAGATCCTCCGGGAAGCGCGGGATCGGGAAATTCCCGACGTCATGATTCACCTCGTCGTCACCCGCCAAGTCGTCATCCGAAACGGCGGCGGGTTGGGAGAACCCCTCGTTCTCGAGCGGGTCCAACGAAGGGTTGTTGCGCCAGTCGATCGAGCCCGGGGGAAGCACAGGGGGCGCAGGAGGCGCAGGAGGAGCCGGAGGGGCCGGAGGAGCAGGAGGTGCAGGTGGAGCAGGCGGGGCCGGGCTTGTGATGAGAATGATATCAGGCTGGCCAGACGTGTTGCCCAAGCTTGAACGGCGTGTATGTCAAACATTGTATGTTTATATTGTGTAGGCTATAGTGGGTTTAGCCTTAGAGGGTACACAAACTTAGGGTTTCATACTTGTACCCACCTTCCTGCTAGTTCATCCATTCTCGTTCTATTCTAGATTCTAACATGGTATCAGAGGCCTAGGTTGCTACCTAGGACCGCTTTCTACAATGGGCCCACTATTCCGCTAGGCGCGCCCTCGTGCGCCCTACCTTACGTGCGCCCTCGTGCGCCCTACCTTACGTGCGCCCTCGTGCGCTCTACCTTACGTGCGCCCTCGTGCGCCTTCGTGCGCCCTCGTGCGCCTTTCTCTGCTAGTGCGCCTTCGTGCGCCCTCGTGCGCCCTCGTGCGCCCTCGTGCGCCCTCGTGCGCCCTCGTACGCCCTCGTGCGCCCTCGTGCGCTCTCGAGCTGCCCCTGCAGGTCCGTCAGGCCCCCGAGCCGCCGCTGCAGGCCCGTCAGGCCCGAGAGCCGCCCCTGCACACCCGTCAGGCCCGCGCGCAGCCTCTGCACGACCGCGCGCCGCCCCTGCAGGCTCTCGCCGCCCGCCGCGTCGCCCTGCCCGTGGCGTCGCCGCCTCCCCGCGGCGTCGTTGCCTGCCCGCGACGTAGCCCCTGTCCGCGGCGTCGTCGCCTGCCCGCGGCGTCGTCGCCTGCCCGCGGCGTCGTCGCCTGCCCGCGGCGTCGCCGCCTGCCCGCGGCGTCGTCGCCTGCCCGCGGCGTCGTCGCCTGCCCGCGGCGTCGTCGCCTGCCCGCGGCGTCGTCGCCTGCCCGCGGCGTCGTCGCCTGCCCGCGGCGTCGTCCCCTGCCCGCGGCGTCGGCGCCTGCCCGCGGCGTCGTCGCCTACCCGCGGCGTCGCCACCTGCTAGCGGCGTCGCCCTACTCGCGGCGTCGCCACCTGCCCGCCGCGTCGCCCTGCCCGCGGCGTCGCCACCTGCCCGCCGCGTCGCCCTGCCCGCGGCGTCGCCACCTGCCCGCCGCGTCGCCCTGACCTAATCCGCCTCTCGCCCCTGGAGCAGCCGCCACTGCAGCAGCAGCCCCTGGAGCAGCCGCCACTGCAGCAGCAGCCCCTGGAGCCGCCCGCCACTGCAGCAGCAGCCCCTGGAGCCGCCCGCCACTGCAGCAGCAGCCCCTGGAGCCGCCCGCCACTGCAGCAGCAGCCCCTGGAGCCGCCCGCCACTGCAGCAGCCCCCTCTGGAGCAGCACGCACCTGCAGCAGCCGCCCCTGGAACAGCCCGCACCTGCAGCAGCCGCCCCTGGAACAGCCCGCACCTGCAGCAGCCGCCCCTGGAACAGCCCGCACCTGCAGCAGCCGCCCCTGGAGCAGCCCGCACCTGCAGCAGCCGCCCCAGTGGCACCTGGAGCAGCTGCCGTCGCGGCCCAGCCTCGCCCTGCCGCAGCTGCCGCGGAGCTCCCTGCTGCGGCCCGGCCCAGCCCTGCAGTTGTAGCGGCCCCACTGTCGCCACCGTCTTGCGCCTGCCGCGCCGACCACTGGTGAGCATTGCCCAGTACTGCTGCAACTGCCTTTTCTACTCCCACTGCCACTGCTCCTGCTGTTACTACTGTTACTGCCGCTACTGCTACTACTGCTGCTCCTGACGTGGCCAGATGCAGCTCCAGGGCTGTGCGCGTGAGTCCCCCACGCCCCAGCAGCTTCGTGCGCGTGAGTGGTACGCTAGTCGGGGCTGTCGGGGTGGCCGTAGTGGTAGTCGCTCTGGAGTGGGTCGGTCGGGAGCTTCTGGTAGTGGACAGGTGCAGCTGCCGTGTCCTCCTTCGCCCCAGCTGCTTCGTGCGCGTGAGTGGTACGCTAGTTTGGGCTGTCGGGGTGGCCGTAGTGGTAGTCGCTCTGGAGTGCATCGGTCGGGAGCTTCTGGTAGTGGACAGGTGCAGCTGCCGTGTCCTCCTTCGCCTCAGCTGCTTCGTGCGCGTGAGTGGTACGCTAGTTTGGGCTGTCGGAGTGGCCGTAGTGGTAGTCGCTCTGGAGTGCATCGGTCGGGAGCTTCTGGTAGTGGACAGGTGCAGCTGCCGTGTCCTCCTTCGCCCCAGCTGCTTCGTGCGCGTGAGTGGTACGCTAGTTTGGGCTGTCGGAGTGGCCGTAGTGGTAGTCGCTCTGGAGTGCATCGGTCGGGAGCTTCTGGTAGTGGACAGGTGCAGCTGCCGTGTCCTCCTTCGCCCCAGCTGCTTCGTGCGCGTGAGTGGTACGCTAGTTTGGGCTGTCGGAGTGGCCGTAGTGGTAGTCGCTCTGGAGTGCATCGGTCGGGAGCTTCTGGTAGTGGACAGGTGCAGCTGCCGTGTCCTCCTTCGCCCCAGCTGCTTCGTGCGCGTGAGTGGTACGCTAGTTTGGGCTGTCGGAGTGGCCGTAGTGGTAGTCGCTCTGGAGTGCATCGGTCGGGAGCTTCTGGTAGTGGACAGGTGCAGCTGCCGTGTCCTCCTTCGCCTCAGCTGCTTCGTGCGCGTGAGTGGTACGCTAGTTTGGGCTGTCGGAGTGGCCGTAGTGGTAGTCGCTCTGGAGTGCATCGGTCGGGAGCTTCTGGTAGTGGACAGGTGCAGCTGCCGTGTCCTCCTTCGCCCCAGCTGCTTCGTGCGCGTGAGTGGTACGCTAGTTTGGGCTGTCGGAGTGGCCGTAGTGGTAGTCGCTCTGGAGTGCATCCCTTGTTGGTGTAAGGGCCTAATAAACTCAAGCTATTAGGACTTAATCAAACTTAAAACCTCTCCTCGGGGTCACCTCCAAGGGTCCCTGGGTGCCTGGCACAAGACCAGCCCCTATCCTCGGGTCCGAGTTTGTAGAGAGAGGGATCAAGAAGGACTTAGTCAAAACAGCAAGAGTACCTTGAACGTCGCGCAGCGTGCCGTGCAGACCGTCGGTCGGATTAAGCTGAGAATTCGCTATATCGAAGCTCGCTCCAAGAGCTTTAAAATGAGCCAAGTTGCCTCGCGAAAAGTTCTGCCATTACGAAGTTATGGCTCAGACGGTGTTTGCCTAGCATTAGAGTGCTAGCGTACTAGCGTTGACTCGGGTAGCATTCCGCCGTCGAACTGCGTAGAAACGAAATTCCAGCGAGGAAGGAATTCACATGAATCAATTTGACTATATTCAGGTACAAACAGAGAAGGATTAAATAGTTCTAGCTAGCAAGGACCTTGGGAATCAACCTGGGAACAACCAGGGATGATCCCAAATAATTCCAAGCAACAGAACCAACCTGGCTGGACAAAATAGCAGGTGGTAGGTTGGTAAACAACCTCTGGTTCTGTTTTTCCAACCTGGGAAAACAACAACCAGGTTCAGGTTCTAAAAACAGAACCTGTTTTGTCTTTGCCCAACCAGCCAAATGCTGGTTCCGCTGGTTTCCCCTGGCCTT